GGAAGGGGGTGATGGTGGGGGAGGGGTCCAGCATGATGGAAGGGGGTGATGGTGGGGGAGGGGTCCAGCATGATGGAAGGGGGTGATGGTGGGGGAGGGGTCCAGCATGATGGAAGGGGGTGATGGTGGAGGGTGGAGTGTGAGGTATGACAGGAGGGGTAAAGAGGAAGGGGGGGGGTGTAGTACAGTTAGAAGGGGGGTTGAGGGAGAAGAATAATAGGGGTAGTGGTGGAGAGGGAGAGAGAGAGGCGGCTACGGGGAGCTATTATCTATTATCTATTAAGACCTATTATCCCCAGTAAGAAACTTCATGCACGCGTACGCACGCACGCACGCACGCTTGTTAGAAAGTGTTTTATTGTGATTCTTATTTGTTTAATTATTTATTTGGCTGTTTAACATTCCCTCGAAATTCAATTTTTTTTTTTAATGTTACCTTAATTGATTAATTTTAGTTATGGCCAAGTAATAAGCCTTATGTTTTTTTTTTTTGTTAATTAACATTTTGTTAAATTGTTGCATTCTCGTATTATGTATATCAGTGTTTTTATATATAGGTTATTGTAGTATACATTGATATACGTTAAGTATATTTTTAGGTATATTTGGGTTTATTTATATATTTCTTTGTGGTGCATTATTTAAGTAACGAGAACTTTGTTTTGTGGGAGACAGCTACAGGTGTTGTCATGGTGTGAGAGAGCTACAGGTGTTGTCAGGGTGTGTGAGAGCTACAGGTGTTGTCAGGGTGTGTGAGAGCTACAGGTGTTGTCAGGGTGTGTGAGAGCTACAGGTGTTGTCAGGGTGTGAGAGAGCTACAGGTGTTGTCAGGCTGTGTGTGAGAGCTACAGATGTTGCCAGACTGTGTGAGAGAGCTGCAGGTGTTGCCAGACTGTGTGAGAGAGCTACAGGTGTTGTCAGGCTGTGTGTGAGAGCTACAGATGTTGCCAGACTGTGTGAGAGAGCTGCAGGTGTTGCCAGACTGTGTGTGACAGCTACAGGTGTTGCCAGACTGTGTGAGAGAGCTACAGGTGTTGCCAGACTGTGTGAGAGAGCTACAGGTGTTGCTAGACTGTGTGAGAGAGCTACAGGTGTTGCCAGACTGTGTGAGAGAGCTACAGGTGTTGCTAGACTGTGTGAGAGAGCTACAGGTGTTGCCAGACTGTGTGAGAGAGCTACAGGTGTTGCCAGACTGTGTGAGAGAGCTACAGGTGTTGCCAGACTGTGTGAGAGAGCTACAGGTGTTGCCAGACTGTGTGAGAGAGCTACAGGTGTTGCCAGACTGTGTGAGAGAGCTACAGGTGTTGCCAGACTGTGTGAGAGAGCTACAGGTGTTGCCAGACTGTGTGAGAGAGCTACAGGTGTTGCCAGACTGTGTGAGAGAGCTGCAGGTGTTGCCAGACTGTGTGAGAGAGCTACAGGTGTTGCCAGACTGTGTGAGAGAGCTACAGGTGTTGCCAGACTGTGTGAGAGAGCTACAGGTGTTGCCAGACTGTGTGAGAGAGCTGCAGGTGTTGCCAGACTGTGTGAGAGAGCTACAGGTGTTGCCAGACTGTGTGAGAGAGCTACAGGTGTTGCCAGACTGTGTGAGAGAGCTACAGGTGTTGCCAGACTGTGTGAGAGAGCTACAGGTGTTGCCAGACTGTGTGAGAGAGCTACAGGTGTTGCCAGACTGTGTGAGAGAGCTACAGGTGTTGCCAGACTGTGTGAGAGAGCTACAGGTGTTGCCAGACTGTGTGAGAGAGCTACAGGTGTTGCCAGACTGTGTGAGAGAGCTACAGGTGTTGCCAGACTGTGTGAGAGAGCTACAGGTGTTGCTAGACTGTGTGAGAGAGCTACAGGTGTTGCCAGACTGTGTGAGAGAGCTACAGGTGTTGTATTGCTCATGAACGCCATGCGGTGAGGCGCAGGCCGCAGCCCCATCATGTAAGATTTAAGAATGAATTGTTGTATTTTCCGGTGTTCAAACACGGCACTAACACTGCGATAAGGCAGATAGACAGACAGACAGACAGACAGACAGACAGACAGACAGACAGACAGACAGACAGACAGACAGACAGACAGACAGACAGACAGACAGACAGACAGACAGACAGACATATTTGAGCAAAGTTGAGGACACCATAGACTTTCCCCTCCGTGTTCTGTGTTAATAACTGTGTCCTGTAACTAATATCACCAGACGACCACCTGGTGTAGCGATTTTGTTTTGGTCTGGGGACCAAAACAAAAGATCACAGACTCACTCAACAAAAGATCACAGACTCACTCAACAAAAGATCAGAGACTCACTCAACAAAAGATCACAGACTCACTCAACAAAAGATCAGAGACTCACTCAACAAAAGATCACAGACTCACTCAACAAAAGATCAGAGACTCACTCAACAAAAGATCACAGACTCACTCAACAAAAGATCACAGACTCACTCAACAAAAGATCAGAGACTCACTCAACAAAAGATCACAGACTCGCTAAACAAAAGATCACAGACTCACTCAACAAAAGATCACAGACTCACTAAACAAAAGATCACAGACTCACTAAACAAAAGATCACAGACTCACTCAACAAAAGATCACAGACTCACTAAACAAAAGATCACAGACTCACTAAACAAAAGATCACAGACTCACTAAACAAAAGATCACAGACTCACTCAACAAAAGATCACAGACTCACTCAACAAAAGATCACAGACTCACTAAACAAAAGATCACAGACTCACTAAACAAAAGATCACAGACTCACTAAACTAAAGATCACAGACTCACTCAACAAAAGATCACAGACTCACTCAACAAAAGATCACAGACTCACTCAACAAAAGATCACAGACTCACTCAACAAAAGATCACAGACTCACTCAACAAAAGATCACAGACTCACTAAACAAAAGATCACAGACTCACTAAACTAAAGATCACAGACTCACTAAACAAAAGATCAGAGACTCACTCAACAAAAGATCACAGACGACTCACTCAACAAAAGATCACAGACGACTCACTAAACAAAAGATCACAGACGACTCACTAAACAAAAGATCACAGACTCACTCAACAAAAGATCACAGACTCACTCAACAAAAGATCACAGACTCACTCAACAAAAGATCACAGACTCACTCAACAAAAGATCACAGACTCACTAAACAAAAGATCACAGACTCACTCAACAAAAGATCACAGACGACTCACTAAACAAAAGATCACAGACTCACTAAACAAAAGATCACAGACTCACTCAACAAAAGATCACAGACTCACTAAAAGATCACAGACTCAAACAAAAGATCACAGACTCACTCAACAAAAGATCACAGACTCACTAAACAAAAGATCACAGACTCACTAAACAAAAGATCACAGACTCACTAAACAAAAGATCACAGACTCACTCAACAAAAGATCACAGACTCACTCAACAAAAGATCACAGACGACTCACTAAACAAAAGATCACAGACTCACTAAACAAAAGATCACAGACTCACTAAACAAAAGATCACAGACTCACTAAACAAAAGATCACAGACTCACTCAACAAAAGATCACAGACTCACTCAACAAAAGATCACAGACGACTCACTCAACAAAAGATCACAGACGACTCACTAAACAAAAGATCACAGACGACTCACTAAACAAAAGATCACAGACTCACTCAACAAAAGATCACAGACTCACTCAACAAAAGATCACAGACTCACTAAACAAAAGATCACAGACGACTCACTAAACAAAAGATCACAGACTCACTAAACAAAAGATCACAGACTCACTCAACAAAAGATCACAGACGACTCACTAAACAAAAGATCACAGACTCACTCAACAAAAGATCACAGACTCACTAAACAAAAGATCACAGACTCACTAAACAAAAGATCACAGACTCACTCAACAAAAGATCACAGACTCACTAAACAAAAGATCACAGACTCACTCAACAAAAGATCACAGACTCACTAAACAAAAGATCACAGACTCACTAAACAAAAGATCACAGACGACTCACTAAACAAAAGATCACAGACTCACTAAACAAAAGATCAGAGACTCACTAAACAAAAGATCACAGACTCACTAAACAAAAGATCACAGACTCACTAAACAAAAGATCAGAGACTCACTATATATCTTACAACTGAACAGTTTGACTGGAAGTGTTGACATAAAGTGCGTGTAAGCAGAGCACCTCTCATGCCACCATTGAATAATGACAAGAGAAGCTACCATTGTATACTCGTTACAAAAAAGACTCTAAATAGTTTCATAAAAAAGCAAGACCAGCGTACGACCTTTCTTTTAACAAGCAGGTAACCAATGGGAAGATTATTTTAAACACTTGTTTTCCACATCAATGCAATTTACAAAACAGCTAAGTGGCCTGTTTTAGCGACTTTCACGACACAAAACACTTTAAATGTTCACAGTTTTCTTAATTGTAGAGATTTCTTAGATTGTAGAGATAGAAATTGTAGAGATTGTAGAAAAACGGAGAGATTCTCTCTCCGTTTTTTTTATACCTTTTTTGGTGTAAGGCGGTTTGGTGCGGCCTTATGAGTCCAAAGATGATATGCTTCTACTCTCTTCCAGGTAATCTGCAGGCCTTAACAATGTCAATGAGCGGTGCTTGCGGTGAAGAGGCGTCGGTCTCATTGTGTTTTTATCTTGAAGAGTCGTTAGTAAGGCATTTGTCCTAATTACAGTGCTTGCTGCGCCAGCACACGTGGAACTAGTTTACAGCCTCTTCATTAGTTTCTTTTTACGATGTTTTTAGTGTGGTGTCTTGAAGTGTAATCTTACATGTTTGTTCTCTTGAGAGAGAGAAGGGGGGGGGGGACATCCTCTCTACAGGTTGTGCTTGCAGGCTTGTTCAATGATGTGGAGCTGCTCAAGCGGGTGGAGTTGCTCAAGCAGGTGGAGTTGCTCAAGCAGGTGGAGTTGCTCAAGCAGGTGGAGTTGCTCAAGCAGGTGGAGGTGCTCAAGCAGGTGGAGTTGCTCAAGCAGGTGGAGGTGTTCAAGCGGGTGGAGTTGCTCAAGCAGGTGGAGTTGCTCAAGGAGGTGGAGTTGGTCAAAGAGGTGGAGTTGCTCAAGCAGGTGGAGTTGCTTAAGCAGGTGGAGTTGCTCAAGGAGGTGGAGTTGCTCAAGCAGGTGGAGGTGCTCAAGCAGGTGGAGGTGCTCAAGCAGGTGGAGGTGCTCAAGCAGGTGGAGGTGCTCAAGCAGGTGGAGGTGCTCAAGCAGGTGGAGGTGCTCAAGCAGGTGGAGTTGCTCAAGCAGGTGGAGTTGCTCAAGGAGGTGGAGTTGCTCAAGCAGGTGGAGTTGCTCAAGCAGGTGGAGTTGCTCAAGCAGGTGGAGGTGCTCAAGGAGGTGGAGTTGCTCAAGGAGGTGGAGTTGCTCAAGCAGGTGGAGTTGCTCAAGCAGGTGGAGTTGCTCAAGCAGGTGGAGTTGCTCAAGCAGGTGGAGTTGCTCAAGCAGGTGGAGTTGCTCAAGCAGGTGGAGTTGCTCAAGCGGGTGGAGTTGCTCAAGCGGGTGGAGTTGCTCATGCAGGTGGAGTTGCTCAAGCAGGTGGAGTTGCTCAAGCAGGTGGAGTTGCTCAAGGAGGTGGAGTTGCTCAAGCAGGTGGAGTTGCTCAAGCAGGTGGAGTTGCTCAAGCAGGTGGAGTTGCTCAAGCAGGTGGAGTTGCTCAAGCAGGTGGAGTTGCTCAAGCAGGTGGAGTTGCTCAAGCAGGTGGAGTTGCTCAAGCAGGTGGAGTTGCTCAAGCAGGTGGAGTTGCTCAAGCAGGTGGAGTTGCTCAAGCAGGTGGAGTTGCTCAAGAAGGTGGAGTTGCTCAAGCAGGTGGAGTTGCTCAAGCAGGTGGAGTTGCTCAAGCAGGTGGAGTTGCTCAAGCAGGTGGAGTTGCTCAAGCAGGTGGAGTTGCTCAAGCAGGTGGAGTTGCTCAAGCAGGTGGAGTTGCTCAAGCAGGTGGAGTTGCTCAAGCAGGTGGAGTTGCTCAAGCAGGTGCAGTTGCTCAAGCAGGTGGAGTTGCTCAAGCAGGTGGAGTTGCTCAAGCAGGTGGAGTTGCTCAAGCAGGTGGAGTTGCTCAAGGAGGTGGAGTTGGTCAAAGAGGTGGAGTTGCTCAAGCGGGTGGAGTTGCTCAAGCAGGTGGAGGTGCTCAAGCGGGTGGAGTTGCTCAAGCAGGTGGAGTTGCTCAAGCAGGTGGAGTTGCTCAAGCAGGTGGAGTTGCTCAAGCAGGTGGAGTTGCTCAAGGAGGTGGAGTTGGTCAAAGAGGTGGAGTTGCTCAAGCGGGTGGAGTTGCTCAAGCAGGTGGAGGTGCTCAAGCGGGTGGAGTTGCTCAAGCGGGTGGAGTTGCTCAAGCAGGTGGAGGTGCTCAAGCGGGTGGAGTTGCTCAAGCAGGTGGAGTTGCTCAAGCAGGTGGAGTTGCTCAAGCAGGTGGAGTTGCTCAAGCAGGTGGAGTTGCTCAAGCAGGTGGAGTTGCTCAAGCAGGTGGAGTTGCTCAAGCAGGTGGAGTTGCTCAAGACAGTATAGTGATCGATCATGCCATTAATCATTTCCGGTTTCTTCCTATAATTAGTAAACCATTTTTTTTAGCAATACCATCGTAGTGAGGAGCTGAGCGGACCGCACGCTGGATTTGTGATCCTGTGGTCCTGGGTTCGATCCCAGGCGCCGGTGAGAAACAATGGGCAGAGTTTCTTTCACCCTATGCCCCTGTTACCTAGCAGTAAAATAGGTACCTGGGTGTTAGTCAGCTGTCACGGGCTGCTTCCTGGGGGTGGAGGCCTGGTCGAGGACCGGGTCGCGGGGACACTAAAGCCCCGAAATCATCTCAAGATAACCTCAAGATAAGGGCCTCTGATAATCTTAATAACTAGATTAACATTCAGGTTCTAAGTCATATTTTTTAATACTGAGAGGAATTGTCGTGGTTTCTATCTTCTGGCAAATTTTCTTACCCCAAGTAGAGCGTACTGGACGGTAGAGCGACGGAAGAGAGTCATGCAGGTCGGCGTTCAATCCCCGACCGTCCAAGTGGTTGGGCGCCATTCCTTCCTCCCGTCCCATCCCAAATCCTTATCGTGATCCCTTTCCAAAGTGCTTTATAGTCATAATAGCTTGGCGCTTTCTCCTGATAGTTCCATCCCAAAAATAGTGGTTCAGGCTTTATTTTTAATACTTTTGAAGTTTGTAATAACAGGTGAGGAGTTGGAGGAGGTTATCTTGAGATGATTTCGGGGCTTTAGTGTCCCCGCGGCCCGGTCCTCAACCAGGCCTCCACCCCCAGGAAGCAGCCCGTGACAGCTGACTAACACCCAGGTACCTATTTTACTGCTAGGTAACAGGATAATACAGATCTAGATAATACAGATCAAATACATTCTCTGTCATCTGCTGTGTACATCATTTTATGTCTGGCAATGGCAACCCTGTGACCATTTTCAGGACCTTGTTGCCACCTTTCTAAAAAAAAATCCCTGCGAATTGAACACGCTCCTCTTGCTGTCCCGTGCTAGAGAAGATAATAGTGTCAAGACGACGATAATGGTCACCTGCTCGTTCGAGTCTCACCATTAATTGGCAGGGGCTTCGTTATCTCTCTCTCTCTCCCTCTTGTGAGGAGAACATGCTTCTTAACTTAGCTGTGGCGAGAGTGAAACCTAGTTCAGTACGTCTATCAAAATGCAGGCGATGAGTCACAATAACGTGGCTGAAATGTGTTGACCAGACCACACACTAGAAGGTGAAGGGACGACGACGAATGTTTCGGTCCGTCCTGGACCATTTTCAAGTCGGATTGAGAATGGTTCACTTGAGAATGGTCCAGGATTGAGAATGGTCCAGGACGGACTGAAACGTCGTCGTCCCTTCACCTTCTAGTGTGTGGTCTGGTCAACATCTATCAAAATATTGTGAATAGTCTGTTCCAACATTCCAAAAGGCGTGTACTTGTATACCTGGAGTTTACCTTAAGGGGGGGGGGGGTTCTGGGAATTGTTCTACTGGCCAGGCCTGACTTGCGATAACGTTGGTCCAGCAGGCTGTTGGTGGACGACATGGGCTACATATCCTTACTTATTGGGATCCTTCCGGGACACTCGATATTTGTAAGTACTTTCATTAAGATGTTGAGTAATGTATAATACTTGACATTCCTCCTTGAGGGAATACAAGCTCCATAATCACTGTACTCGAGACTGATCTATCAAAGTTAATGGTTTTCATTTTAGTGATGTCTTCAGTCCATTTCAAATGCCGCCCCCTTGACACTCATGTGTCAACAACCATAGGGTATTTAGCTGTCAATGGCTAGTTAATTTTTTTTTATTATTATTATTTTCTACCACAGACGTGGCCAGACATTTACAATGCTAACCAGCATATATACATTTTCTTCTGTCCTCCATGGACAGGGTTAGAGATGTGTTAAACATATAGTTCAAGGGTTTATTGAACACTCAACCACAGAAGGTGATTCGGTGCTTTTAAAATGCTAAGCTAACCTACATACGTAAATACATAGATACGCAGATTTACGTATGCCCTACATAAAGTGTTTGATGTGTCTTTTACATAGTGTCATTAATGTACATTCACAAAGGTGAAATGTAATTCTGATCAGCTTCCATATAACAGTGCAGTTGGGTGATCTGTTAATTCCCCAGCCTCCCACTCCTTCCCGTAGTCAAACTATTTTATATGAGACAGGCGGATTACAATGATGCTTTCAAGGATTTTGCGTGTGATATGAGACTCGTAGACCTTACCAGGATCTTTGGGTTTGGGCATGAGGACAATTACTGCGTGTTGCCATTGTGTGGGCAACACTCCACTTAAGTGGGACTTATTGAAGATGAGGGTCCAGGAGTGGTCCAAAATGACGTCACTTTCCTTTCTCTTCTCATGTCTAGGCTGGCACCTCACTCTCAGAGCTGGCACCTCTCCCCCAGAACTGGCACCTCACCCTCAGAACTGGCACCTGACCCCCCAGAACTGGCACCTCACCCCCAGAACTGGCACCTGACCCCAGAACTGGCACCTCACCCCAGAACTGGCACCTCACCCCCCAGAACTGGCACCTCACCCCCAGAACTGGCACCTCACCCCCAGAACTGGCACCTCACCCCCCAGAACTGACACCTCTCCCCCAGAACTGGCACCTCACCCTCAGAACTGGCACCTGACCCCCCAGAACTGGCACCTCACCCCCAGAACTGGCACCTCACCCCAGAACTGGCACCTCACCCCCATAACTGGCACCTCACCCCCAGAACTGTCACCTCACCCCCAGAACTGGCACCTCACCCCCATAACTGGCACCTCATCCCCAGAACTGGCACCTCACCCCCAGAACTGGCACCTCACCCTCAGAACTGTCACCTCACCCCCAGAACTGACACCTCACCCCTAGAACTGACACCTCACCCCCAGAACTCTCACCTCACCCCCAGAACTGTCACCTCACCCCAGAACTGACACCTCACCCCTAGAACTGGCACCTCACCCCCAGAACTGGCATCTCACCCCAGAACTGGCACCTCACCCCAGAACTGGCACCTCACCCCCCAGAACTGGCACCTCACCCCAGGACTGACACCTCACCCCCAGAACTGTCACCTCACCCCCAGAACTGACACCTCACCCCTAGAACTGACACCTCACCCCCAGAACTCTCACCTCACCCCCAGAACTGGGAGTGTAGTCCCTACTCACCCTTACCTGATTGTGCTTTTGCTATTCTCATTTTTCTCATGTTCTGTCCTTAAGGTTTTAGAGAGAGAGGTTATAAGCTGTATGAGGGGAAATTAAAATTGCAAATTGAATCTCAATTCAGTTTCTGTTTCAAATTTTTGTTTCATAAAGGAAAAGGTTTCGTGTGTAATGGCAAGACGGGAAAGGTTGTCTCAACCTGATGGAAGAGGAGTAAGTTATTGTGTTGAGGAGTGAGGTGACGTTTATGGTGAGTGAGGGGGGGGGGAATGTGGAAGGGGGGGAGGAGACGTTCTTAATGGAAGAGGGGGAGTGAAGGAGAGGAGCGTATATGGAGGATGAGGGAAAGGAGGTGGAGAAAGCTATTTGTGATATAATAAGGTGATTAATTTACGTAAAGAGAGTAAATGATTGGTAGGTAGCAGGAGAATGATTGCTGGAAGTGGTGAAGGTCAGGCTAGGTAGGTTATGGATGTGGTCACCTCCACCACTCCCCTCTTCCCTCTCCTCTCCCCTCTTTTCCATAAACCGTTAAGAGAGGAGAAAAAGAGATGTTTTCGGTGGGATGATAAAGGGGGAGGAGCTGGGGGTTAAACTGCACATTATACCCTCCAGCGGGTCATCATCCCCCTTTCACTATATCTCTCACAGCCGATGGTAACGAGTCCGTGGAATCCAGTGGATGGTGCACCTCGAGGTCACACTGTGATGTATGGTGACTAGGATTGTGAAGTGTTGTTCCCAGCTCGGGAGGAGTAGTATAGTGACGTCTGTTCCTTGCGTAACCTCAAGGCGGACCTCTCAGCCACCACCTCCCACTATAAGAGCTACTTGGTCCCTCATCCTTACCTAACACTGACCACCGGAGGAGGAGGAGAAGGAGCTCTACTTCTTGGGCCCCGCCTCCTAGCCTTGTTGTACGTGTTTTAACTCCTGACGTTCGTGTTCTTTGTCGTATCTTGAAGTTGTAGATAGAGGTGGCTTCCACGACTTCTACCATTGCATTCCACCCGGTTGATCTCCCGTACAAGGTACAAGAATTTCCTTACATTTCTTCGACTCATTGGTGTTATCTTCTGCTTGTGTCTTCTGTTGTTTGCTGCTATTTTCTTAGGGTGATTGATTGATAAAGATTAAGCCACCCAAGAGGTGGCACGGGCATGAATAGCCCGTAATTCTCAGGGTGGGGAAAGCGGAGGGTTAGAGATGGAATGGGGGAGTGAGGTGGGAGGGAAGCAACGTGGTGGGAGGGAGGGGAGAGGAGGAAGAGGAGATAATTGGGATGTGTGAATATGAGGGTTGTAGAGGGGAGTAAGGGAGAGAGGGGAGGGAGGGGCTACGGAAGAGATAGAGGTAGGAAGAGAGAGATAAAGTGGGATAGATAGATAGAAAGGGCAGCCGATAGAAGAAATATATAACAGAACTCTGAATTCGGCCTTTCTACAAATAGAAAGAGGAGGAGGAGGAGGGAAAATGTGAATGGAGGAGGAAGAGGAAAAGGATGATGATACTGATGAAGAGTAGGAGATAATTACAGGCCTATAAGTGTTGCATCGTGCACATACACGAGAGGATCATCATAGTACTGCCTACTGCTGCTTGATGACCGGGAAGATCTAAGAGACTGATCCGGGTAGTTGACCCTTTCTTGCCTCTTATGGGTGCTGTGGTGTAGCCACCTGTCTGGT